GTCGGTGGGTGGGTGGGTAGGTAGGTAGGTAGGTAGGTAGGAAGGAAGGTAGGTAGGTAGGTAGGTAGGCAGGCAGGCAGGCAGGCAGGCAGGCAGGCAGGCAGGCAGGCAGGCAGGGAGGGAGGGAGGGAGGGAGGGAGGGAGGGAGGGAGGTAGGTAGGTAGGTAGGTAGGTAGGTAGGTAGGTAGGTAGGTAGGTACATACATACATACATACATGCATACATACATACGTACATGTCCACATTCCTTGTGTGCATGCATGCTGACATGCGTATCCCATCCATCCATCCATCCATCCATCCATCCATCCATCCATCCATCCATCCATCCGCGCATACATGCACACAGAGAAAAGTACATCAGACATCACAAGAGAAAAATAGATGCATGTATGCAATCGGGCATGCAAAGAGAACCTCGCTGTCTGCGATTGGGCCTTGCGAACTGCTGATGCTACGCCATCCGCGCCCACCACGATGTCCGCCTGCCCGGTTCGTGAAATAATGCTTCAGGAAGCTAAGAAGGCGGAGCAGAAGTCAATTGGCTTGATAGGTGCAAAAGGCTGACTTTGTCTGACAACGGCTGATGAAGTCCCCCTACATGCACAGGCTGGCGAAGCACACCGATTTGTCTCTCGCGCCATGCCGTCCAGCGCCTGCACGAACCACCCCGTCCCTGGCAACAAGTCCTCATCTCGCGGGAAAGTAAGATCCTCATTCAGATGATGACGGCAAGAGATGCCAGGTGTACCGAATGTTTCGTGGCTACTCATTTTCCCATCATGCCTGCTGGACTCCTTCTGGCCCTGCAGTCTCTGGTGAGTCATCCGTCACTCTGCAGGCTTGAGCTTGGCCGTGACCCGCGAGCAAGCCTCACTTCTTCAGTCCGGTAGTGGCCGCGCAGGAAGTGATCGTGGCCGCCTGATGAACCCCGGCCGGCAGGTGCGGCGAAGCTTGCACATGCTCGAAACTCTGGAAAACCCAAGCACAGCTCCGAAGCTTCATGCCCGACATCTCTACACTAAAGTGCAAGCGGGTAGTACGGCATCATGCACTGGCATGAACCAATTCTGCGAAATTCACTTCGTCGTGTGCTCAACGTTGTCCCGCCGGCTCGTGCACAAAGCAACCAGCCACACAAGTAATTCATCACGTGTCGTATAACACTCCAGGTCCTCCGGAGCGTCCTACGACCTACGATGCATGGAAAGTGACACTGGATTTCCCGCCGGCCTTGTGCATCTTGATCCTTTCGATAGCCGTGTCTGTCAAATCAAGCTTTCCGCGTCAGGAAGATCGAATACGCCGGGTACTGGTAGAGGAAGGACCGCTTCTCCTTTCTCGGAGTAAGTTCAATAATGCACGCATTGCTCAAAGCGAAGCGACGGTCCTTGAGAACACGGGCGTCCGGCGGGAAGAGGTATCCTTAATAATGATTCACGGAAACATCGCTTTCATGCTGTCTGAGTATAACATTTGCTACATCAACCACAACCTTCTGAAGTCGGGTTCGGGACTGGCTGTTGTCGCTTCCAGGTTGTCATCTCGTTGACAGCTCACGAACACCGGCCTCGTGGAGACATACCCAGGGGGGCCTCTTGCCGAAGGCTCGTTCTACAAAAGCCTTTCTGTCTTGAGCGAGCTCGGAACCTCTGAAGCACTAAGCAGAAAGCCGACAAGAACCGCAGGCAAGGGGCCATCTTCCACCGCGTCGAAGTCCACAACCACCCCACCTTCACCAATGCCTTCATGTTCCTTCACGAACGCATCACCTGGTCGGCACGGCCCGCAAGCTTTGAATCTCAGAGCTTGCGCCCAAATAAAGGCACTGTCGGCCCGACTGATGGTTTCAATGATCTGCAACATTCTGCCAACCTACACTCTGCACGGCTGCAGAATGCGAAGCCGCACAAACACTAATGACAGAAAAAGGGAGCAGCCGTAAGCTCGAGCAGGGGCTATGGCTGACCATATACTCAACACCGCAACGACTGCTCACAACACCTGAGAAGCCCAAGATCTTGCTCCTTTGGCCAGAACCCTCCAACATATCTGAGGTCGGCTCTCTCCTGGAAGCACTTTAACCACTCCTGAGCGACGTGAGAAGAGTGGACCAGTGAGCAACAACCCATAAAATCTCTGAGGCACACCCATCACCCATGTACGAGTCAACGCTGGAGCAAATCCATCTGGTAGCCACACACTTGAAGAGAACAGCGGCCACATTGCCGACTGCATGCTAAACTATGCTAAACTAGTCCGGACCTGTTCACAAGCACTGAACGCACAGCAAGTGACCCTGATCTTACGATCGCACATCGGCGCAAACACTGTAGCAGACCTTCTGCGAACAAACAGCAAAACTTTACACGAAACCTTGGTAGGTGTCGAGCGGAAACCCCTGTTCGCTCTGCTCCTTTAACCTTTGCTTGTCGTATCAAAAAACTAAAGATGACCGAACGCAAATCCTCTAAGCCCTGGCCTGAAATCCTGTGCCCGAACCTTCTTGCCAGCTCACTCAAAAACAAGTTCTGCACATGCACACAAGATACCCAATTGTTCATGACGGGGCCATGGTTCCAACCCAGGAAGGCCTTACCTTTGCCGGGATCTTGCACGTTGTCTGCTGCAAGGCTTCTGGCTCCAATTCGTGAAAATTGAACCCTGAACCGCCCAAGCTTATAAACTCCAATTCAACAAGATGGTGTTGCCCGACTGTGCGGTAGTCTTTCATGCGGAAACTTCGCTATCGCAGAGGTTTCAAAGACCCCTCCGCACTTTTCGACAGCGATACAAACCACGCTTCACCTAAGACGCTTATCGTACGGTACAATGGTATGGAAACACTTGGGAGCTGTTTCAAACTGCACAGCGCGCGAGTTTGCAATTTGTGTGGCTCCTAGGGCGTGACAAATTCGCTGTAAAACTCATCGCTCGATACATATGCCTGAAAGGGCTTGTCCAGGACATTACGGCAAAAGCGTGAGGCGCACGAGCGACAAGAGGTTAAAAAAATGGGGAACACTGGCAAATCGCTCAACAGGGACGAGAGCGTTTGACAAAGAGGAACTTCGAGAGAGAGGAGCAAACCAGCTTGACCCTTTGATATACTAGGTGGGAAGTAAAGTCACAGAAGTACATCTGAACAATTCCACGAAAAGGAGAGTGTTACTGAAACTTTATCACCATTCCGGATATCTCGGCCTCCAATCTTCAGCTTACGCATCAGCTGGATGCCAACCTTACCTGGGCAGAATTCCCCTCTTTTATATTAACTTGATATGTACTGTCATGAGTCATGATGCTTTACGACAGCCGTCCCCAGAGCAATAGGGTCCACGTAGACATGCAACCAAATCTACTGGTCAACGTTTCGAGCGACTGTGCGACTGTGTGGCACTCATTCCTGCATCTTCTCAGTTTTGGAATCTGTCATTTACATCTATATACATCTCAGCAAGACGCCATGCATGATTCCTCTCCTTTGGCGGGCATGACAGTGAAAGCTGTCGTCGGTTGCGCGTGCTCATTCCTGTGCATGTCTCTCGGATCCCCGAACATGCCACGACCATTGTGTCACATGTTCCCCGCCGAGGCTCCGGAAGTCCGGAAACTATCGAACTATGACACATCACAGAGCCCAACCATCCAACCCAAATCCTGCTGAGCTCAACGCATTGGTCCAACTTTGCCAGGTGATAAATGGAGGCGTATGAGATCACATAGTCGAAGGTGTCCTGTTGCTTTCGTGCTTATAACATCTTTCTCTCCGGCCATGTATGGCATGTATCATACGTACTATGTACGTGTATGCACAACAGAATGAGCACCCATGATTAAGTGTTGAATCTGTCCGCCTGCAAATCTTCTTTGATGCGTATACATGTGCATCCGCTCTCGCTTGCTGTCCTTGTGACTACTTAGTCTTGCCGTCCCTTCCGTTTCCTTTTTTCTTTCGATGGAGTTGGTGAAAGGCTTAGAAACGAATAGTAATAGTAACCTGGAAATATTACGAAGCAGTGACTCCCCGATACAAGTTTTATGTAGCTTGCTACTGCTGTCTTGTTGTCTACCTTTCTCACCTATTTCTTGCTCATGCAACACGTAAACAGACACCCACGCACGCACGCACACACACACACACACACACCCACACACACAAACACAAACACACACGCGCACACACGCACACACACACACAGACACACACACACACACATTCATTCATTTGTGCAGACTGAACACTCATGAACACTCATGTTGCACGTACGGTAGCTGTTCCGGCCAGCCGGGTCGGCCAAGCCTACAAAACAAACGCAAAAAGGGGCAGTCGGCCAACATGTTTGACGTATACAAGGCTCCGGTCAAAGTGTGCGACCAAGGTCCGGAACGAGAAAGCTTTGGCTTTTGGGGTGTGAGGTCTTTCGTGACTGTAGCTTCTGAGTGCTGGCTTAAGGCATGTGCAGAAACATCCTCGAAACATACTGCCCATATCTCGACGCAATCACCGAAGATCCTCGACGAAGTGCAGCGGATATTCTGGAACAAACACGAACATCTAGCTGACCTGGCCGAATCTAATCCCACCTCCGGGATCCATCCCAGCTCTCGGCCATCGCCCTGACAGAACTTCCCTGCCGAGTAAAGCTGGGCCCAGCGTGCCGCTGGCTCCTTGTCAAAGAATGTTTGGGTACGTTCTGGCTTGAAGAAGCTTGAAGTGTTGCTGACGAAGGTTTTGATTGCAGGCGTTGGAAGCGGTCATATAGCACGAGGCCTGAAGATTCCTGTCCTGCCTGGATCTCCACACCCAAGCCGTCCACGTCGAACAGCATCTTTGCCCAAGACAACCTTGAGGCTGCAGGGAATTGCAGAGGTCTGAAGGGCATGCAAGATGAGCGTGCAAGAGTCATGCTTCGCAGGAACCATCAATGCCACAGAGAACCCGCGAAAGTTAAGGACGGTCCTAGTCGTGCTAAGTAGTTGAGTAGCGTCCTTGGGAGTTGTCTGTCGTCTTAAACGGCTGAAAGAAGCAATGATAGGTTTTGATGTGCGGATTTTTTCGAAAAAAACCACATGTTGCTATGAGACATAGGCTAGCCGGTTAGCCAGCCGGACCTGGGACATCCTGAGACTGACTTTCCGTAGATCCGACACAGGGAAACTGGCAGCCGTGGAAGGCGTCATCCGGACAAGCCGCTGAAGCGCAAAACTCCCGTTAGTCCGAGGCACTTGTGACCACAGCCTGAACCCCAGTCCAACAACAGCTGACCTGCAGGTTCGCACTGGTTCGCAAAAGACACTGTCAACTTTCGAAGTTTGTCTTAATATCGGAGAACTACGGGCTTCATGTGACTGCAGGCGGCCGATGGGCTACTTCACTCTTCATCAAAATTGACACTTGGCGCCCACCTGGTCTAAACCCGAGCCAGTGGCCAACGGTGATAAGCACCTGAGCATTTCCAAAGGCTCCAGATGGCTTGAACTCTGCTATACAAAACATGGTACCGCAGGCTTCTGTATGTGATCTCAGAATTATGCTTTGGTAGGCTCTGGGAAGTTAATCTGGCTTTCATGATCATTGGCGGTATTCGAAAGCCGTAGACCTTTGTGCTCTCATGCAGTCCTAAAGCGACAATCTCCATCGGCAATCCATCATTCCGAACTGCTTTCCACCTCATGCGTTCTGGTTTCTGGGTCCCAAATCAAGACCGCAGAAGCACAGAAACAAGTTATGCCAGAATTTGTCGAAAAGGTTCGGTCGGCGAAAGACCGGACACCGAAAGGGGTCTCCAAAATATCCCATCCCGCATCTCCAGCAAGGCTGCGCACTTGTGGATGTCGCTCATCGCTTCGTTCCACATACCCCGGGAATCTTGGCACTGTAGCCTCAGCCATGAGCTTATCAGCATTGCAATCACAGGGCACCCCGGGCACCCCTGAATAGATGTCAATCAGCGTACACTTCAGAAGCATGGCTGATATGCGGCAAGCGGCTGGTTTGCCCGATTGCTGTACTTCTGGATCTTTCGAGCCAGCTCCTCATCTACCGACCTCTGCTTTAGCTGCGGGTGTCGTGTCCTGTGCCATCGACCGATCATGCGTTTCCTGCAGTTAGTTGGCCAAACCGGCCCGTTCTGTGGGTGAGCAAACATGCCCAACAAGTCAGCTGCTTGCATATTCGAATCGCAAGGATGCGAGTCCCGATCAACACTCCAGGGCAAAGTGCGGTCAAGGCACGCCGTCGATGCTGGACAGTTGATATGATCCTTGTGACAAGCCGAGGTAGAGATCCCCTCGCTTGGAAGGCCTACGAGTTAAAGGCTCGAGCCTTGCCGACGAGCGTGCCAGCAAGTCCGAAAAGAGTCCGGGAACCAACGGCTTGACAAGTAGGAAATGAGCTCGAATTCGGCCAGAGCTTCTATGACGGTAGAGCTCCGATCTGGAACTCCGACATTCCTCACACGTTCGAGAACGGGGACAGAGCCGTCTGCAGGGATTTGCAGTGAAAAGTCTGCAAGCACAGTGTCAACAGGCTTTCTAGCATGCGGATACACTCAGAGTGTGATAGCATCGGGGAGCATATACTTCTTGCGCTCGTGGAGGCGTGATTGCAGAGCTCTCGCTCCCAGTGCAGATGTGCGTCTGTATCTCTCTCTCTCTCTCTATATATATATATATATATAAAGAATATATATATATATATATATATCTGTGTGTGTGTGTGCGTGTGCGTGTGCGTGTGCGCGTGTGTGTGTGTGTGCGTGTCTGTTCTTATGCGTGTCTGTTCGTATGCATGCTCGTATGGCCGAAGGAAGGAATGAATGAATGAACGAGAGCATGTCAGCTTGACTGTGATACAAAGCTGAGTTCTGCAAGTTGTGTGCAACAAATGCAAGCTCCCTGAAGACAGCATCGCCATCCTCGCCTGCGCATTGCACGGCACCTGCGCACCAGTTGGTCGTCTGTGTAGACCTGAGCAATACACAAAGGCGATGCTAGCCACTCGATGCTCGACGGCTACGGCCACGGCCGAAGGCCCTGCATCGCAGGAACGATTCGATGTCGGATCGCCGTGCTATCGAGTGACATGAAATTTGAGCCTTGTTTGATGACCTCCGCTATTAGCACATCAAGCGCCTCAAATCGAGCATGGGCAAGTGGCCATGCCACACATCCCGGAGTCCTCCGCGTGAACTCGAGGGACGAATCTGGCAGAAAGCTCGCGAGGGACTTCAAGCTTGGCAGGTTGGGGCCGGTTGGGGGTTGAGAAGTGTTGAGAGCCGACAGCAGATTCAGCAGATTTGGCCTTGCTGGGCTAAGGATGCACGGGCTGCGCAATGATCCAAGCAGCACACCAAATCGGACTCGGAAGTACTTCTGCGCGTGCAAGGCGGGTCCGATATCGGCGAATCTGCCGGAGAGCCAACCACCCTGACCCTTTGCCGGCCTGTTGAAGGCTCTTGGTGACTGCTGCTGCTCCTCGTTGCCTCGAGGATCTAAAGAAAGTCCCAAAATCTGAAGCACAAGACAAGCAAACTAGGTAAGAATGCAAAGCTCACCTCGAAAACGAACCCACAAACGTGGTTTGTAGATTGCAAAACTGTTTCAGAAATTGCTTCCGGAAGGCAACGTCGGGGCAGGGTATCTTGCTCGAGCGCAGTCCACTCTTTAAATATCGGCCCGTCTACATTGTACCAGTCATAGGTTGATGTTTCTGCCTAGGTGCACATCAGCAGATTGACGGGAACCATGTTCGCATATCGGCTGTACCTGGTCACTCATGCAGCGGGTCTTGAACGACTCAACGTGCCTGCTGCTCACTGCTTTCGGTCGCAGGCTGACGAAAAAAACGCGGCAGGCGTTCCAAACACTTGCAAGGCACTGGGAGGTGTAGAAAGGAAACGGCGCAAGGGAGGCGGCTGCACCTCAAACAATTCACACATTCAAGCGCTTCGGTTCAGTTATCTTGCTGAGCCTATAGAGTGCCTGCATCTTGTACAGCATGTAGTTAAGGCCTAAGACCCTAACATCCACTACGCTCTGCACTTTTGATTTGAGTCCGGCTGAGGTTTTAGGAAGAAATGACGGTGGAGAGCATTTGGGGAGTTCTCCGTTTGGGCTTCCAGGCTCGGCATGGAGTAAGCACCCTATAGCAGAAACCTTCCCTCCTGTCTGCCAGCGCTGCTCCTGTTCTCTGAACGTGGACGGGCTCAAAAACATCCTGCAGCTACAATGAACCCTCCCGCACTCTTCGTAGCATTTGTCTCTGCCTTATGTTCTGGAAGGTCTGCCGGCTACGAGTCCGATCCGACCAACAGGACAAGCAGCCCAAAAATTGGGTCAGGTCTTCCGATGGCTGCTCGATGAGAAAATACCTCGCCAAGGGAACAACTCGGTGGCAACGAGGCTCGAACCTCCCAACGGTTCAAACCTCTGCCAAGCCGCTGCGAGATGATGATCATCGCCTGGGCCGCAGCCATTCGCATGATCAAGCTAGAATGCCGCGGCGGGGCTGCAGCCCTGTGGGAGTAAAGCCCCAGAACACAGTCGTGATGCAATTACGTGATCAAGGAACTTGGGGCCAAGCCTATCACAACTCTACCTGGACACCCAAACCCTGTCTGCTCAACAATTAGGCCTGGAGTCGGAGACCCTCCCGATGAAGCTTTGCAACATGCCAAGAAACAGAGAGAATTCCGGGGGCGCACTGAAAGCTTTGGTGGTTCTCCAGGCCTGGGACCAAGGACCCGAGCGTAGTTTAGGCCGCACCCGCCCTTGACCCACACAGATCCTCTACCTGCGCATGCAATTACGGTTCCAAAGTTTGTTCCCTTTCGCCCTCGGTCGCAGAGGCTTTCTTTCACCCGAAATCACGACCACGACACCTACCAGAAATAGACATCAATCATTCGTGGGCCAGCAGCCGCCCTGCCCATCTTCTTGTGGAACAATCATGCCACCATTTTACCCGAAGCCGCCTGATGGCTCAGACATACATGCGGACTGACTCAGAGAGACAGACAGAGTGCACTGGGTTCTTGGTAGGGCTGGTTGCTCTCCGTCGTGTCTGAGAGTCGCATGTCACCCCTTAGGCCTCGCAGAATAAACTTTGAAAGCTCACAGCTGCCACCTCACCTGTGTCTTCACAAAGTGCGGCAGCACATCACCTCCCTCGTCCTCAACATGAACTTGTCTGTGGTTCTACTTCAAATGAAACAGCCCATGAGACCTGTCAACTCAGCAGCCAACTGGTCGCGTGCTTCGCCAGCTGCAAAGCCGCATCCTTGTATCGTCGCAGCGGAAGCAATGGGAGAAGAACGGGGGAACGGTAGGGGCTGTGCACCAAGTGAGCGAAATGGTGCTCACGCTCTCAGACATATTCGGAAGAGCTGCCTATGTATGCATGTAGGTATGTATGTGTACATATGTATACAAACATACGAACAAAAATGAACAAACACATAAACACACGAACACTTGTACATAGACATGTATATACTATACTGAACTTAGACCCCTAGCAAAAATTATAATTTTAGGTGCTTCTTAGGGTTTATAGTAGCCAAAGATTAAAAATTATTTCTAAGTACCCCTAAGTATATATATATATATATGTGTACGTACTTACATGTACATACTAGGTATCTTAATTAAGTGACCCTACATACAACTCTACATCTGAATCCCAAAATATGCTAAGTGTACACAATGCAAAAATATGTATGCGCACATACCTATGTCAACATAGTTGCAGACTGTCCATGATCTATGATCGGTGTTGCCATGCAGCCTGTCTTTCCTTCGGGTCGACCCTGCAAGTTCTTCTCGTTCCGTGCTCGTGTCTTAAACTTTGTCTGCCCAAGGTGCCCCGTGGCTGAAGCTACAAAGCTCGTCCGGCTGGCAGTTTTCACAGGCGTTGGCCAAGAAGACCTGCCATCCAAAGGCAGCAACTACCTTGCCAACCTTGCTTCATAGCCCCTATTCATAAGCCCTCTTTGATTTGATGGCCTTAACATAGGCATCTCTGTTGTAATCTTTATGAAGGGGGAGTTTTCATCAGGGGTCCTCAAGCTCAGTAACAGTAACGCGGGGCATGTCAATGGCGGTGGAGATGCCCTACAGCCCTCGTCACACTCGGCACCTGTGTCTCGTCACTGTCAACAAGCCCCTGCACCTCCCAATCGACACCGTGCTCGTGTCTCGGGCATTGCACATACTCCTGAGCATCTATATAGTCCGGGGCACGTGTTCTTCATACCTCCATGCAGCATAGATTAATAACAGAGTGAGACAGTAGAAGCCCATGGAAGGCGCATGGTCTCAATACCTACGGGTTTCGATTTGGATGGCCTGGTCGTCCCAGCTGTGGTTTTGATATGGTTCGAACTGCGGTCTTGCAAGAGATTACGTACAAAGCTTGGAAGGAAGAAGGCAAAGAATGAGTGGTGCAACGCCGATCTAAATCGGGAACGATGCATGCCAAATCGAGCTGAGAACGAGTGTGAATTGATTTCCGTGCAAGCCCCTCGCTTCGCTGAGACGTGTGGGGCTTGAAAGTCTCACCCCTGACCCCTGCAGGGCTGGTGCTCTCTCTCTCTCCGGGGCTTGGGAGGCGCCTCCCGGGCCGATGGCTATGTGGGGCTCTGTAGGAATTTCGCCAGGGCCATGGTGCTGGGGTTTGACCCCCAGGAACTCTCTCTCTCTCTCTCACTCTCTCTCTCGCTGTCTCTTGCCGTGCTCGAGCTGCCAGCGCTGGCACCGCGCATGCAGCAGACAGAACCGCAGCGCAAAAGAAATCAAAAAAAACCCTGTTTGCACAGACTTTCCCAATCCGTATATGTGTTTGGAAAGCTCCGATTGAAATCTAGATTTCCGTCTGTGCCGGGGATCTGTCAACGGCTTGCAGGCTTGCAGCAAAGGCTCTAGAAAGCCTGGCTCGCAGAATGGGATTGCAGAATCTGAGGGTTGCACCTGGGAAAGCAAGCAACGCATCATTCAGAACTTCCATGTGTTTCGATTTCGAATCTAAACTTGGGCTCGGGTTGATCAGAGGCGTAGCAAGAGGGGTGACATGCAGGCATAAGATTTTCCGAATGCGCAGGAAGTTAATCCGGCTGGCTCTTGCATGGATTGCAATTAAGGACGAAGGTATCTGAAGATTTGGGCAACCACATAGTCCGGTCACAGCAGGTTGGCTATTACAAAGCGTCTACATCCATGCACATGCGGCACTCGTGCAGCATCGGGCCGACAGTTGTTTTATGGCGCCTGGGCCAATTTACAACATGAACAGCTTTGTTTGGAGACCTGAAAAGGAGCAATTGAAGGTTGGGCAACACACGCAAACATCATGTGTCTGCTCTGTCTCTCAACAAAACCACCTCGACAAAAGACTAAACCTGACAAACTCTTGGCAACGGTTTCAACAAGAACATTAACCCTGCATTAGAAGACTTACTAGACTCGTGGACTGGCCATGACGCTTGACTATCGAGCCCTGTGCAGACTCAGACGAACAATCCAAACATATGGACATGTAGACATGGACCGCCACCAAACACGCACACACACACACACTCACACTCGCTCGAAAGCCTTGTTGACGGCCACTACAACAAACCACTGTAGATGTGTCTGACTCACTTGTACCAGAAACCACAACAGACCCAGCACATACATCTGCCATGGTCTTGCCCCAAATTGAACACAACGCTAACTGGATTAACTGGTAGTTGGGGTTGCTATGGTACTAAGCTAGATTACCAAACAAATCGGATTATCCTTTGAAGCAGTCCAGCCGCGGGGTCTGTCCCCACTGCACGCCAAGCTACCTGTACTGCATAGTGAAGCACCGCGAGGACGGGGCTCAATCGCATTATCATTTGAGAAGCTTGAGCCGAAAAAGGTCGATGGTGAGGTCTGTTTTTGTCGGCATCAAAGTCTCCCAAACCATGCAACTCTCGACTAGCGGTGCCAAAAGAGTAGACGGATCCGTTGAGTAGTAGCTTAACCCTAGTGTGTCACTGTTATCAGGTTCGACAATACATCTAAACATCCTGGACATGTAGGTCATGTCACCAGCGCGTGCTTGGAAAAGCCCGCTCCTGCATCTCCTCTGATGCATCTTCTTCGGCATCGCCTGAACTCGAGCAGCATTTACCTCTTCCCCATGTGTATCACTTGAGGCATCCATACATGCGATTTATTCCAACAAGCAAATAGCCACAACAAGCAAGAAAGATGCGGACAGAGAGGGAGGCACACAAACACACAAATACTCACATCCACCCAATCGAAACATATCCTCATGTTACACACACACACGTGCGAGTAAGATCTAATCTGCAAGGTACAGCAATGGACAAGCACGCAGACACGTGCACCCTGCTCGATGCACCAACAAACATCATATCCGAATGTGTAGTCATGCACCTACACACGCCAGTATCACGGCAAATGGAGAACAAGATCCGTGCATGAAGCCGTGAGACTTGCAAAAGATAATGCAGATTCTGCACGCACGCGCACACGGACAAGCAACTCTCGTTTGCAAGCGAGTCAAAAATAGTCTAACCACAGACTTTCACACATAATTCCCCATACATTGAAGAAGCATATGCAGCATTCGGTGCTCGTATACCTCCAACGCAGCAAATGAAAAGAACTCAGTCGCTTCTATACATTGGCAGCTGGATATGGGCACGTGCGGGCAGGTACCTCGAGATCAGCTTCCAAACGCACAACAGCCCTGCAAAGCGCCGCTAGATACTTCGCGAAAAAAGAGCCTTGACAGTAACCCGTGTGGCACCCATCCAGGACATCGTGCAAGGCAGGAATGCGCTTCCTGTGAAGTCGCTTCGAAGCTTCATCTTCTCAGCCAAAGCGCAGGTTTCCTCGGCCTCCCGGGCTCCACAAGTCCTAAGTGAGAGTCGCAGCCGAGGAGTGGAGAAGTCCACGGCGGTGCCTGGAAGTGCGAGGAGATTTTTGAGCTTGCGCCTTGACGTCTTGAGATGGAATAAATATTCGTAATAGCTTCATATTGCTTCGAATTTACGAGAAAGTCTGGACATGTCATGTGCCCGTGCGGCCTGTGCAGATGTATGTCCAGGACTCACCACGACGACATCGCTACGAGTATTGATGCAAGCAGTCAAGACAGTGCAACCGCGAAGCACTCTTTGGAGAATTGGACTTCAACATCTGGCCACTTCTCGCGCAGCTCCTGCCGACACGCCAACTAGGTGACGGTCCAGCTTCAGCTCAAGCCCAGTTGGGGCTTGAAGGTTTGATGCTAAGCAAACTGAGCACATGCTGAGCACTCATATCGTCTTCGGCGTCCATGTGAATGCGACTGAAAGGAAGAAGCATCCGCTCCTCGTACAAGCAGCTTGAGAGGCGGTCTCTTGCGATGACTTTCCTTCTAAGCAGGCGGTCTCGGCAGACGTCATATTAAGCATCACCAGATTCAGCACAACCAAAGCTTGAAGAAAGAGCGTAGGGACTCTCGCGGGACCATGTGTAGCGCAAACTTGGGCATGACTAGAGCTACAGGTGTGACGGTACTTGTCCATTCAGAGCTGCGTTCTATTGCGCTTTCTTATTCTCTTTCAAGTCTCTAGGACTCAACTTTTCCGCGCAACGATGCTTCCGCGGATTTCCGCGCCTTGACACGTTGGCATTTTTGCGGAGTCAGTGCATGATATCCTTCCGCGGACGGTTTTGCAAGCGACCGCTTCCGCAAGAGCACGCATTCACACATTCGCGACGGTTAACGTAGTCGTTGCTTCCACGGCCTTCCGCCCAGCAACCGCCTTCCGCTGCCCTTCCGCGTGCCTAGTCTCAGAGAGACAGATTTCCTCATTGAATGAAAGTTGTGTGGCTTTGTCGGGCAGCAAGGGGATGCTGATCATTGCAGAGATCGAGCTTTTTCGACAGCCGGTCATACAGTGTGCGGAGAAACGAGACACAACCAATACCAAAACTGTCCTCACACATCATTCGCAGATACCCAAAAGTTCCCGCGCCCCGATCCCCCCCCCCCCCTCCGCATCCGTCCGACCCCCAAAGACAACACCTGCCAGGCATCGTAAGGAACCGCCGCTTGTTGATCGTGACTTTGGGCTCGCCCTCGCCTGACCAATCCTGCAACTCGGGTCGGGCCAGGGCCAAGGATACGTAGCTGTTTCAAAATCACAAGGCATCTCTTCGAAGTGCCCATCCCGATCCTTGCGGCCGACTACCGTCTGGCTCCATCGGTCGACACGCTCCAGGGCACCGAATTTGGCCAAAGCCCGCTGCCCGCGGCCTCAAGTGGAGTGGTTCGTTTACAATGAGTTGAGCCGGCCGGACAAGTCATAAAGATGTGGCTTAGTGAACCGGATTAGCTAAACCATCTCCATCAAAACTTTGTTGCTGAGCGTGCCGGAATTTCCCGATCACCCTCCAAGCATCACCATTCTGCGGGTGCTAAAGCTACAAGCTTGAGACCACCGAGCTCATGTATGAATTTCTGCGCGCGAAGGCAAACGGGCTCAGAAACTCCGGTCCGGAGCAAGCCGAGCACAGTCCCCGGCCTGCCTCCAATCCCGAGGTTGTAGGAGCGATCTGGATCTCCCCAGACCTTGCAGGACAATAATTGCCAAATTTCCTGCACCTCGCAGATTGTGGCATGGGTTCGCTATAGATGTTGGGAATTCACCGGCAATATCCTGAGCACCACCATCGCAATATACTGAGAAGCAGCAGCACTGGGCACAATCATGGAAGTAAATGAGCAACAGAAGTTTACGACATAGACGAGCATGGGTAGCAGATTCTGCCTAGGCATGACGACGAACACCAGAGCAACAAGAACCACGACTATGTGTCATACTTGTGAAGACAATCGGTCGGACAGGTAGCTTGTCGTAAAGCATGCGGCGAATGGCAAAGCACGAGCTCGCTGAGTGACATGCTTTCTGGCAACTGCTCATGCAAAGGCAGCAAGGCAGCAGCCACTGCAGAGCTCCCCAAACTCGGACGATTGCAACCCCTGCGTGCCCTACCCCGGCCTCCCAAAGCTCGTATCAGGACTCGGAAAATCTGATCTGCAAAAGATGTCTTGGCGACTTGGATACATGACATGGGGACACTATCGCTTCATTGGCGACCTACTACCACCACAACAACCACAGCAATGACCACATCGACGTTGTTGCCTCGGCCGGCCTGGGTACTCTGTCAAATCTCTGTCCGGTCAACAGAAGCGTTTTGGCATGCAGGAACTCATCTTGCCTGCAGGCGGTAGGCGCTATCACACAACTCCAAGACATCCTGAAATTCACAAACCATCCCCGAAATCCTCCAGAACCCATCAATAAGTCCTAGTAAACTGACTTAAAATCGGGGACGAGTAGCCGCAGCATCAGGGCTCGGCGGCTCCGGCAAGCGATCAAGCACCCGAACCTCTTTGCAGAATGCTGGTCAAGGCCCAAGGCAGACATTCGGTGGCCACGAAACCTATAACTGTTCTGGCTTATTTCCTCTCTGCCTTGCGGAAGCCGCGCCGGGCCAACGCCAGGGCCGTAAGGAGCCCAACAGGTCCAGCTCCAACAACTGCAACGCTGAGGCCCTGCTCCTGATTGTGGGATTGGGTCTGTGCCCTGCTGAGTATGGGGGCTTCAGGAGGAATCATTTCTCGTGATAACTGGTTCTGCCTCCCTGCCGTTTTGCTTTCGTTCTTTCACGCGTCTTGCGTGACAAGGTTTAGTTAGATTTAGTTTGTGCGTATGCATATATACGTATCTATGGTTGCGCCCCGGCGGCCCCCCCCCCTCCCCTCCCCCGTCCCCCCGCCCCCTCCCGATGGTATCCCCTCATGCGGTCATCACCCCTCTTTTTCTGTCGAACGGATTGGGCCTTGAGCTTGTGGAATGGCTGATTCAAGCGTTGGTTGTGCGTGTGATCCCCATCGGCTGGAGTCTTCGAGCTTCGGAGTTTGGTCCCCCTCCCCCTGGCCCTGCTCTCTCTGTGGAACAGGGCCCCAAACCCGTCTACTTGGGGGGGATACCATTGGAGGGCCTGCACAAGGACTACACACGTGAGTAGGCACGCACCTGTAATTTGCTCCTGGAGTTCGGGTTTTTTTAGTGCAGCTTTGCAGGTGATACGTTTTATAAGACCTTCTTAAAATTAGCCCCGGTGTCAGGTGCCCAACTCCAAGGCGTGCTGCTGCGGTCGGGGCGGCTGCGCCACGTCCGCTTCGACCACAGCGTGACCCGGACTGGTTTCATCTAGATTTCTGACTTTCTTCATCCCGGTTTCGGAATATTGAAATGAGACACTTGCCTTCTTGATGGCAGAGTTCGTGTTCAAAGCGCAACGTTCATTGTTATTTGTCGTTGCTGCTGCCGTCCGCGAACGGGTTGCATGGGTTTGAAGCAACTGCACCATTCGGAGATGTTTGTGAAGTTGAGGTTGTCTCTGGCGGTAAAGGTATGTCCAAAACGAAGGGTGGGGCCGGTGGGGCTTGCCACTGTGATCGGATCCCGGTCGCGAAATGCAGAGGGTGAAACGCTTCGTGGTTCATCACGGTCAATTTCTGCATGACGGGCTTCAGCGAGTGTCGAGGGAAGATTCGGAGTTGCCAGTCTTTGACATTCTGAATGGATTTCGCCACTTCCTTCAGAACGCACAGTATTCAGACACTGCTATGGAGTGCAAACTTATGACGCCATCCCGAAATTCCGTTTCTTGCATTTGTCCACTCCCGCCAGGTCTCTTTCCAAGAGCTGCCGTGCGACAATGCCAATAGCTGCCTGGCCTGACTTTGGGCTTGCAGCTTTGGCCACGCGTGCTGGCTAGGTCAGCTCTTTAGACAAGGGGCAAGTGAAGCAACTGTATTGGCTGTCATCACGTCTTCGGATACCGAGGAATGCGCTCCATCCGAAGGAATCGCAGCCTCTCGTGCCGACGGAAGCTCAGGACTGCAGGTTCAGAAGTTGTTGATCCCAGGAGCTCTGGGGTCCCTGATTGCCTCTCTTACTCTCTCTCTCTCTCTATCCCTCTCTCTCTGTCTCTATGTTTCTCTTCCTCAGTCTGCGCAGGACTGTCATCTTTGCCCTTATCAAATATTTCTTAAGCATTCGCCTATCACCAGCCATCTAGACTTGGCTTTCATTCTTCAACCTCTCTTTTGTGGGCATGTCTACTAGTCTGGTAAGTAGTATTATCTTTGCCACCTCCCTTTGTAAAATACGCGTCCTGCAATTCATGGATCCCAACATCATGTCCAAAACGCGAAAACAAGCAAAATAGAGCGATAAGCCACAAGGCGCCAGAGCGAAGGAGTTTTCAATGAATGTGATTGCAATGTGCTAGCCACAGGAACTCCGACTGTTGCAGGTGTCCTCGCCGCTTTATCTACCCTAAAAACTAAACCCTAAACCCTAAGCCCTAGAGGCTTATGCGCCCTACCTGCCCTGCCCTCCTTCTGGGGGGAACTCCCCTCCGCAATCGCTTTTACATTACGTCACGTTTGCGTGAGGCAGACGGCTGCAAACCAGCTTTTCATTCGCTTTTGGTTCACTTGTGTTGTTTTTTTTTTGCGCGTTTTGTGGTGTGTGTGTGTGTGTTTTTTTTTCGCTTTGTTTCGCCTGTTTTTTTTTAACAAAGTTGCCGTGCGAGCCCGGCAGACTGGGGCCGCGGCAGGGCCGGGGAAAGCTGTAGGCTGTAGCCTAAAGCCTTAGCCTCAGCGTTTCAGTAGAGTCTCTGTTTCGGCGTTACCTCTGGTTTCGATTTGCTGATCGCATTTGGCCGTAGCTTTGTCTTTCGGAATGACTAGGATTTATGCTTTGCAGTTCACATTCGGTCAGGTGCTGTTTTCGGACGCAAATGTTCACTTTTGGTCATTTGCTTCCTTTCGTTTTTTCGGGTTTAACTGCATCAATGATTTTACAGGGATTGCAAATCACAAACTTACCTGATGATATGAACGGTGATGATGATGATCATGATGATCATGATCGAGGTTCGTTTTTCAGCATGAGTTCAAGTATCACGAATACCCGTCACTGTTGATTATAACACGTATGCACATGACGAACAGTTTCTTGCAGTCAGATGGTTGTTTGTTGCCAAACACCGGTGCTGCCATTGTTCGCATAATGTCACTATGTCGCAAGTTGGCTCTTGGTCATTGTCAGTACTACTGTTGACACCACCTCGGACCACCGCCATGAGAAGCATCAGCACCATCATGGTCATGGTCTTCCTCCTCCTCATTATCACCATCATCATCAGATTCACCCGAATGCATCAACCTTCCATAGCAGAAGTTCGCAGTATCTTTTGTGAACTCTGTGCGTGTAGCGGCCGCAACGACAACAACTCTCGCGTACCCCGGTGGATGAAGAAGGCCCCTTCCCTCACCCGCAGATGGCCCTTCAACCGACTTCTGCCATCCCGCTGCCACATATGAACCAAAAGCCAAATTTTTGAACCCAAACCTAAGTTAAAGCCAAGCCTGGGCCTAGACCGTATTAGGCGCGCCCTCTTCCTCAGACTCGGGCGAAGCCCAGCAGGAGAGCAGGGAGTGAGAGCATCGAAGATGCCCCACGAGTACGACACCGACGGGCTGCTCCACTCAAGGAGGGCCACTCCCAGACATTCCAGAATTACGCGTGCCAAAGCCTAGATCTGTCCAACCCACCTTTCCTGCAGCTGAGGAAGGATCCGCCAAGACAAGGCGGAAGGTGGGTCGAAGGGGCTTCCACGATGGTAATTGTCCCAAGAATAGGTTAGCTGTAAACAGGAAGGGCGACGAAATACATTGCAACATCATCATGTTCACCCTCCGGTGATGGTATCATCGCAACTACCATGATCAGGTGGCGTGCCTAAACCTCCTCCTCCTCCTCTTGCTCCTCCTCCGATCATCATCATCATCATCACCACCATCACCGTCATCATCATCACCACCATCATATCATGAGACTCCCTCCCTGCAACCGATCCCCCACCCAAGCCCGCCCTTGGTGCTTTCTTCAACCTTTCTTGTCTTGAAACACTTGAGGGATGGATGACTCGATTTCCGGCACTTTGTACATCACCGCTGCACATATCACTAGAAGTGAACAGCAGATGTGTTAAAGCATGTTGAAGCCTGACGGCAGCTGCCAATTCCCTCCGATGCATGTCGAGGCGATTCGAGGACGACCTTCATCACAGAACTGGCTGTCCTCAGTGACTCTCGGCGGACACATTGGATTTCGAAACAGGCATCTTGCTGCAAGCCCATTGCGCAGAGGTTCTGGTTCATGTTTTCCGGATGCAGACTTCTAACAGTCTCTGTGCTAACTTATCGCTCCCAGCTACACGCGCGAACTAAAGTTAGAGCAAGGGAATCAATCCCTCTTTGCCGACATCTGGTGCCTCTGAGGGAAGCCGTCAATCTCCAACAGAGGCCCTTTGTGCCACTTCTGCGCCCCAGCTCAAATGGGAAACTATTTCTTCTTCAGGGCTTCGCTTGGCCTTGTAGCGTTGCTTATTGAGGCATTGTCGCCCTTCAACGTTGCAATGCACAGATGCCTCCGCACTTCCTCTAAATGGGTTCCCCTTTAGACGCGTAAGTGGTCCTCACAGAAGAAGCGAGCTTCATGTACTTCAGATCTTTCCGATGCCGTGAGCATCAGAGTTTCTGGAATGCAGCGTTGGGGTGACCGCATTCGGAGCAAGAGGGCGCACCCCATTCGGAGGTCGGTTGTTCGTACTGCCGCTGGCACTGTGCGCGTCACGATTAGGCTTCATGCCGATAGCCATTGCACATGCTGCTTTTGATGCTGCTGCTTTCCTAAAGCCGGCGATGCTGTGAATCAAGGCTCCTTCCGGCTGGGCCTTTCGTAGAAAGCTACAGCGGCTTCTGACGTGGGTGTGACCCCTGGTTCTCGGAGGCTTTGAAAGTTCGGGTTTAGGATCTTGGTTTGGTTTATTCAAGCACTTGAAAGCTTGTTGGTTGTGGTTACATATACCATGTCATGTTCTCTCTTCAAGATTCCACGGAGCTTTTGAAAACCAGGGGTTGTTTGCTCAGAGCTGACGAGAAGGACACCGGGTTAGGATCTGAGGTCTTCGGAACGATGAATCGAAGGGTTTGGTCGCAATGCACGCCTTGCCGAGAGCCGCTCAGAGCGATCCCGAACACGATCCTTGCAGTGATCCCGACGCAGCCTTCCTAGGTGCTCAGAGCCCGAAGTGAAGCCCAAAGCACTCAAGCACTGCTTCTTTCGGTTGCTAGGATAACGTGATGGTCACTTGATATGGTAGAAAATGATGTTTGCGCTTTCGATCTGAGTTTCCACATTCTTGGGCCTCAAAGGGGGATGGTGTCTTCTCGCTACTGTGCATTTTGCGCGTTTGGCCTGCTTGCTTTGTTGAGGGGCGATGGTCAGAGCCTGAATGGGTATGAATCGACATGACAGTATCACGTGATATCCTTTTTGTGTTCCGACTTTCGTCCACGAGTTTCAGTGCGCGGCGTTGGTGCAGTGTTTTGGCTGCAGAGCGCATCGAGATGCAAGGATGTAACGTACAGAAGTACAGGGCAGCGGGTGTGCTCACAGGCATGCCTGTTGCTATTTTTGCCCAGGGAGAAGCCCAAAGGTTTCTAGCCGACACTGGCCGCCAAAGACTATAGGT